TTTTTTTTTTTTTTTTTTTTGTTATTGTGCGGCTTCCTTAGGCCAAATTGCTTGGCCGCACAAATTGGCTTTCGCCTCGGGCTCTGGCAATAAAATCAAACTCACGCAGGCGTATGCGTAACGCACAATTATCCCTCATTGAGTGGGTGTGTCTGCACTCGAAGGGATAACAGTCAGAGTCCCTTAATAATTGTCATTGTCAAGTGGATTCTGTGGATTCTCTGAAGAAGTCCTCTCCGCACCTCATGCTCCCCAATTTTCCAACTGCTCGACTTCTCGGCTCCTCCAACAATAACATAAACTGTCCTTCAGAATCAATTTACTTTCAATTGTTGCCGAATTGTATTGCTAATTGTTGGCATTAAATTGAGCTAACTGAGTATTGTCGAATTTAAGTCACGCTCTATATCAACAAACGATACTTGAGTTTCCTAATGGTATAATAATATGAGGATTGCCATAGGTACAACATAAAACGAGAATAAGTAATAGAAACAGCAGTTGCTTAATGATGGATAGGAAAATTTCTTATTTAGCGACAAAATTTATAGGAAAGCAAGCAGCTGAAAATTTAAGATAATAAATTTAAGTATATATCCGAAATTGAGGGAAGTGATCTAATATAGTAACATGATAGTTCATAGGACAAAATATAATAGGAATAAATGCAGATGTTCAGATACAAAATTAACTTTACAAAAGCTATTAAAACTATATTCAGGGGCACAGATATGGATGATCTAATGCAATACGTCTATGCATTACGGCTTCGACTTCACTCTGATATTTATTTATTTATTTATATTTTACTGAATTGCACCATATTTTGTTAGCTTGCAAAATTGCTCACACTTTAAATTAACTTAACGCTATTTTTAAAACACTTACAATACATATGTATATTATTATTATTATTTATTAATTTTGTAGAGCTAAATGCAATGTTTAACCACAAATCAATGCAACCAGAACAACGTCTGTGTGTGTTTGTGGCTACGAACGTAAATGGTAAACGTTTTCATAGTCGTATTATTCTCGTTGTAGTTGATGTTGTTGTTGCTCTTCTCTTTCGGCCTGCTGCCATTCAATTTAATCTGTTTGTTTTGCATTGCTTTCGTCGTTGCTGTTGTTGCTGTTGTTGATGTTGTTGTCGCTGCTGCTAATGTGCTGGGGTCGCCATTGTAACAATTTTATGGTTAGTACGTTTTGTTTCAAACGATTTACTTGTTAACATACGCCACAGTGTAACGAATAAGAAAATACCCTGACATTTTGAGAGAGCTCTATTCATTTATCTATATATCATTAAGATGCATTATAGTGCATATATGCATGTATAGCTATACTAGCTTCTCTGAACTGAAACCCTTTCAATTTTGATTAAATGGCTGCGTTTATTGGACACTATTTTTATGTTATTAATTTTTAATTTCGTTCAGAATTCAAATGAAGTTTCATATGTCAGAATCTGCATTTTTGCCTTATCATAAATATTATCCAATTGATATTTGTCTTCAAAAATTATATCCATTTTAATGAGCTCAATATTATTAATATATATAAATTTTTTTTGAAACTATAATTTAAAAAAAATTTGTTTCGACTGCGAAGCTAGTTATTTACCCTCAGAGACATTCATTCAATATACATATGTCAAAGAAGATTCCAAATAGCGTAAAAATGAAAAATAACATATATAAATATATGCATATATTAAGCCAAACAAATGAAATTTGTTTTACATATTTATTCCATTGCTATTCATAATAAATAATACGTATACGACGAATAATACGCATACGACCTGTCAAAATCACTTTTCCGATTAGCTTGCAGTTTTTTGTTAATAAAAAACATAAGCAGAGTATAAAAAGTTAAATACTTCTGTGTATGTGTGTGTGTGTGTGTTTGGCTAATGCTGTTTTTACTTTGTTTCAATTGCATGACGCTCTCTGGGCTTTCAAGTTCAAATCGCTTTTTATGTTTTTTATGCAATCACGTAATCGCACTCGTACGGCAATTTCCATCAATGTTTTCGGCTAGCAACGGGGAAATTACGTTTGTTTTCTTTTTTCTTTGCCGCTTCTTTTTTGTTAGTTTATATGCCCATTCATGAGAGTTAAATGAGCATATTGGGATCCGTGTTGAATCGAAAAATGCATTTCTACAGTTTTAGATTAAGAAACTCAAAATGAAAGACTATTTTACATTTGATTCGAATATATGTATATAGCAATTGAGGGTACGGCCGATCGGAAAATGAATCTGGCAGCGTTTGGACCGTAAATGAGTATTGTGCAGTCGATAACGCCCGACTGCAACGTTCTAACTTGTTTCTTTTTTTATAGAGCTGCAATACGAAAAAGCGCGAGACGCAGTTATTAAGGTAAACATGAAAATATCTTTTATTTGCTCTGGCAGGTCTTAATTAGTTCAAGAAGTTCTTTTGGTTCGACTTGGATGGCTGTTTGACTGGTTCCACCAGTTTGCGTACGTTAATGTCTCTGACGCTGTCGCCGTCGACGTAGCTGCTGAATGGCTGACTGAGAGGCTGAGAGGCTGGGAGGCTGGGAGGCTGTGAGGCTGACTGGGCTGGCTACTATTTGTCAGTGCTAGAATTTCAATTTCAATTTCGTTTTCGTTTCTTTCACGCCAAAGACACAAACACGAAACGTACCAAAGAAGACGACAAAGCTGCGCTCTCGTGAGGCAACAACAAAAACTACCATTTATTGATGTGATAATCTAAAGATCAAGGTCTTCCTTTTGCCATTTCAATAATCTTTGTCTCTGCGCTCAGTTTTTTATTTATTTTTATTTTTTCTTTTTTTTTAGGAATAACGAAACTAGAATTTTTTTTTTTGCCAGATTTGATTTTAATGAATGATGCGGCAGCTTTTGCTAGAAAATCTTTGCAGATTAGCAGAAATACCAAAAAGCTAAGAACCAAAGACCAACTGAATGGCAAGTTCCCAAAACAGGAAATATTGCATATGTCGAACAAGAGTTTGACTAACACAGAACAGAAGAGATGCAAAAAAAGGTGGAAAAAAAAACAAAAAAAAAAAAAAAATGAAAGTTAAGCACCAAATGTGGAGCAGAAGCTGGTTCTATATTGACACTGGGGATTCGGTCTCCGTATGTATGCCGTCAAAGGGAAAGCCCAGACGTACCTATGGTAAATCCAAGCATATGCAAGTCTAATGAGCCTGGAGGAAAGTGGAAATGCAATTGAAATGCAGCAAATACCGCCGCCACTCACTGAGGATTTGCTTTGATTGAGGTAAAATCAGCAGAAGTGGCATTAAAAAAGATGAGTGCCTGAGTTTTGCATAGCAACTACAACATATACATAGCTACACACACACATGTGTATGTATGTCTAGTTGTATACATGCACATATTCTCAAAGGATTCGAAGTTGGCAAGAATTTCCATCAAAGATTATGCAAATGTATGCCATCACATTCAACTATAATTAGATTTGCAAACTAATTAGAAATAGTTTATGGAAAGGAAAATAATCCAGGGATATGTGAGTATATAGTAATATATA